TGCTGTTGTTGTTGTTGTTGTTGTTGTGTGTGTAGACCAGATGTTTGCTGGCAGTTCATGTTATGCCTCTTGAGATAAAGAGATATTGAAAGTGTCTTTGTTGTTCAGTGTTCAAACTGTTTTACTGGTTTGGTTACAAGGTAGCCTTGTCTGCCTCTGATTTCAGTGAGAGATTTCCCATACCCAGAATCCCTTTTTGTCAGTTCCCAGTGAATGTGTGGCATTTAGCTCATATATGGTGAGACTGCTTGCAGCACCAAGAGCAAGGATGCAACAATCAGAAAAAGGTGTGAAGGTGCCTTTACTGTATGCTGTGGATGTACTGCCTCTTTCTACAATTTCCTGTCTGTGATGCCTTTAGGATTGTAGAGAAAATGCTGACTATAACACAAGAAGCCTCCTCAATTCGATGAGAGTCTGGTTAAACTCAGTTGTAGCTGAAATGAAAATCTCTTCTTGACTATGAATGTGCTATGAATACGTTGTTTCTTGGGAGGGACGCACTTAACAGCTTTCATTGACATTTAGTTCTTGTTCCTACAGAGGCTGAATGCGTTTACTGTAGGTTGCTTTGGAAAAAAGCAATCAAGTGTAACTTAATGTATCTCTTAGACAGTAGATCTTAGTGTGTGCGGCTTTAAACTAGCATCCGGTGATATCAGTCAGCTTTGTGGTTTCACAGTCATGCAGGAGGTTGTGCCTTGGTTGCTGTGTGCAGCTTCTAACAGCCTGGCAGTCCAACACAACCCCAATGTGTAATGCGTATTACACGAAGCAATATTGTGATGCTGAACTTAACTGAAAAGCTATGATAATCGACCCTGTCCTTCCTCTACATACCTCTCAGATTTCAGTATGCTCAGCTACCTGCCCTTGGTGAAAAGCAAACTTCTCCGCAGTTTCACAGCTGCAAGTCAACTCCAAATCAACAAATCTATGCAATCTGATATCTAGAATGGGTATTAACAACAGTAGCATCTTGTTTAGCTAACCGTAAGTTAAATTAAATTGAGATTACAGTGAGGGAGGGGCTGCCTGATCCAGTGACCCATCACAAAGAAAGTCCAGCTCACACATTTACAAGCTTGTCTAACGTATCCAGTAGTGGTTGTCCTGTACTGTCCAGCGCGTTGACAGTCCCATGGTGTGTAATAGACTGTGAAGCCCCCGCCCCCCTTTCCCTTTGGACTGTGTGTCTGTGAGGGTGAGAGACAGGCAGAGAGAGGGTGAAAGAGAATACCTCAGGCTATGTCCTCTCTCACAATGCCTGTGCCTGAGCTAAAAGGGCTGGATTCATTGTCTCACTGTCAGGATGCTCACTGGATGAGCTCTCCCTTCATGGTCCTTACTTCCTCCTTTCTTTTTTCTTCCACCCTCCCTTTCTTCTTCTAAAAAAAAAATCTTCTAGAGCCATCATTGCCTTTTTGTCTCCATCCCGCTGAGCTGCTCTTTCAGAGTCTGCCTGCCATTCCCTGCTCTTCATTTCTGGATCGGTCTCAGCTCTCACTCTGCACATTTATTCCCTTCCCTTCTTGTAGCACGCTTTTGATTTCCCTTTCCCTTTATGCTTTCCTCTGTGGCCGTATGATGTTGTGAGATTCTTCTGAGATCTGACAAACACGTGCTTGCACATAAACACTTAAACAGCTGTGACAGTTCATGAGAGTTAAGAACAGAAATGTAACCAGTGCTCTACCTAAGATGGCAGCCACTTGGCATTTTCTTGTTGATTGGTAAAGGGTTGTAGTGTTCTTTTGGATGTTGTTTTTTCTTCTAACACAACCTCAAGTGTTTTTATTCCCCCTGCTTTCTCGTACTGTAGCCGTCTGCTTCTTCTCCCGCTCGCTCTCTGGTTATCCATTTCTCTCTTGCCTGTCAGTTTCTCGTCCTATCCCCGGCTGTTGTAATCGGACTTCAGGGAACACTGAAGCGTGACAATCCATTAGCACCTAATGGAGTCCTGAGCTCTCTGCCCTGCACTCTAGTTATTGTGTATTTTATTTCTACTATTCTCCTTTGCACTACTCTGTTTTCCTATGTTTCATATGAAGGCATCATACAATAAATAATGGACTGCCCAGTGTGTGACCCCCCCACAGTATAGCCTGCTATGGGAAGTAATGTGTTGAGAACAGATAAATACAGACTGGTATGCGTATATACAGTTTGTCGTTACTTAAAGCTAATAAGATTAGTGGAGTGAAACAAAAGATTCCTTGTACCAAGACATTATAGGTTTATGTGTTGTGTAATGGCTTTTCTAGAGCATAGGTAATATAGGAAAACAACATAATATACAGTGAGAAGATGAGCCAGAGCTTAGAAATGCAATGTCTGACTTTAAGTTACAAAAGATTTTAGTCCAGGTTGATTTGGCAACACCTGTGGTTACTGGTAGTAACAGTGTTACTACAGATGAGGCTGGATTACATCCATGCATCAATTCCTGTGAATCCCTTGTGTAGGAAGGCAAGTTTAATCCAGTGTGGGAATGGCGGACCCCACCAATAAAAATGAAACCTTCATGGAGAGGTATTTACTGACCATAAATAGTGAAAATCTGAAATAACCTCATCATCTTGAAGAGTATAAAACATATAGATACTGTAGGACGGTGTAACTCACACTGCAACAGCAGGAAGTTGCTTTTCTATGTTTTATAAAAGGGTACATTTAATATTTTTGGGGCTGTTGGTGAGACCTTGGACTGGTAAATTGTGACATGTGTGACTAAGATAAAACAACTAATTGTTACTATACTAAAAAATAGATTGATTAATAATAGAAATACTGTATTGCAGCCCTAACTTAATCATGATGCATATAGAAGTTCATCATTTAAAGGTCACCGTTTTCAACAGCCAGGGCAACTTCTTGTTAATTTTTAAGTTGCTCTAGAGAGAGACCATCAGCTCAACAACTACAATATGAATGGGTTCCACTTTTGCCACAACTAGCCTTTTAACTCTTCTTGTCTCCCCAGGGCTAATTTCAGTTTATAGTTCATTTTTAAGTGTACAGTGTGGTTTTTTTCCACTGAGAACATAAAATGTTTTGGCCTCCCGCAGGAAAAGGACATTGATGGTGTATTAGGAAATGACGTCATGCCAAACCTTGAATTGTGTGTTGGTTTTGTGCTTATTCCTCTAATGGTGCATCAGCGTTTAAGCCAAGAAATTATTTGGGCTTCTTGGATCTCTTTCACACTCAGAGTGAACTGAGTGTAGGCGTATTCTCTCTCTCTCTCTCTCTCCCTCTCTCTCGCTGACGTCTTCTCGCTGCTGCCTAAAATATAGCCGGGGCCCACGCTGTGTGCCAAAACAAACGCAGTGCTTAAGTATATTGTCTCCTGCCTTCACAGGAGGCATGACTTTCCATTCCAGATGGTTTGTGTGTGTATGTGTGGATACAATGACCCAAGCTTTTTCCCTTGGCTGTGATTGACCAGTGCTATTTTGAGGGTACTTAATTGGTTAATTTGTAACCATGTTTCCGGACGAGAGATCACATAGAAGAAGGCTAACGCACACATGCAGCAGTGGTCCGATGGCTGTCTGCTGTGTTACGGTTGTGCTTTCTACAGTTTTCTCCTTCCTTTCCTCTTCAGGTTCTTAATTTTTCCCTTCCTCTCATCTATTTCCCTCTGATTTTCCTCTCCTCCTTATGTTTGTTTGTGTATGCTCACCATGCCTCACAACAGAATAATCAGATTAGTTCAAAGGGCTAGCAGTGTCACTCAGTCTTTAAGTTTTCACTGTTGAATAAATGCATAAATGTGTGTATTCACTTTATTCTAAATAGACCGTGTGAAGTGCTGCAGTAGTCTCTAAAGGCTGTTGGCTATTTTCCCACATACCCCTATCAATACCTAGCGATGGAGATCATTTTGGTTTAATCTACCCAGGATTTGAGACATCTTGGGCT